TAAGTTTCGGTAATTGACATGATCGTTTCGGTAGTGACAAAATGGAATGGTAAGCAGGTAAATCCCACCATTTTGAATTAAATGTGTTTTTAATGTCTGAAAATCAGTGTACTTTAAAGGTCTCTTATTATATTATTGTTAGGCATATATTATAGGTCTCAGATATATAAAAAACATGTCTATGAAGTGTTTTGCTCAAAATACTAAACAGATCATGCATTCTAGCCTCATAGCCCTCTATTTCAGCCTGTTACTAAAGTGCTGATTCTGGGTCAGTAGCTTCAAACATTCACACTTCAACATAAGGCATGTTATGAGTTAAGATTAAGCAATAAGGTTGAGGGAATATGATACAACCTTGAGAACAAAATACTGTGGTCACTACCGAAACACTGGATGTTTTATAAAAAATGAAGTATATTGATAAACTAAAATGATATGATACTGATTGGTTTAATGTATGTTCAATTTCAACAATCATCAACTCTGGAATCAATATGATCAGTATTATGCATTTTACAAAGAAAGTTTCCATTATGATTTTTATGAATTGTATAAATTGAACTTTGAAATTTGATTAAAAATTAAATTGCATTGATTTAATTGTGAAAACCCTCAAGAAATATTTGTTAAAATACTATTTAGAGAAGGGAAGGTAAAACAATCTTAACAGGTTAATATAATACTTTTTTACTACAGTGTATGTATGTTTCGGTAGTGACCATTTTTGGTAAAGGAAGAACATTCCAATACAGTCTGAAAATACGATATAAAAATGTACGGTTCTTTTACTAGATATGTGTAATTTAGATATGGTACAAAATATATATGGACAAAGTTTTGGGAAAAAAACATACAAAATTTCAAAACTGTTCCAACCTGACTTTGCACCAATTCGGTAGAAGATAGATAGATAGATAGATCGTACTTTATTGATCCCAAATTGGGAAATTGTTTTTGTTACAGCAGCATAAAAGGCATTTTACAATAAAACAAAATATACAAGAATAGAAATAAATAAATAAATATAAATAAATATAAAATATACATGTCAAAATACAAAATAGAAAATATACATACAGATATTATATATATATACAAATATATATATATTCAAAATATATGGAATTATGGAGTATTAAATATGAAACAGATTATGTGTGAGTAAAATGTACAACAAGGTTTTATTTCTAGAGAAACTATGGAGCAGAGAGTTCTCTTCCAGCCAGAGGTGATTTGTTGTACAGAGTTATTGCAGTGGGCAGGAATGTTTTCCAGTATCTGTCCTTGAGACAGGGGAGCTGCAGCAGTCTGTTGGAGAAGGAGCTCCGTTGACTGTCCAGCTGCAGGTGGAGAGGATGGGTGGGGTTATCCATGATGGACAACAGCCTGTTCAGTGTCCTCCTCTCCACCACAGCTTCAAAGGGTTCCAGCTTGATGCCGATGACTGACCCAGCTTTCCTGATCAGTTTATTGATCCTGCAGGTGTCACCGGCTCTGATGCTGCCCCCCCAGCAGACCGCAGCAAAGAAGAGTGCACTAGCCACAACAGACTGATAGAAGATCTCCAGCATCTTACTGCATACGTTGAAGGATCTCAGCTTCCTCAGAAAATAGAGTCTGCTCATCCCCTTCTTGTACACAGCGTCAGTGTTGATCCTCCAGTTCAGCCCATTGTCTAAGTGCACTCCCAGGTACTTGTAGACCTCCACAACTGCCACATCCTCTCCCAGAATGCACAGGGGCAGAGGAGGAGATGTCCTCTTCCTCCTGAAATCAATGACCATCTCTCTGGTCTTGGCCACATTCAAAAGCAGATGATTTCTTCCAGTCCACTCAACAAAATCACCCACCAGCGCTCTGTACTCCTCCTCCCGTCCATCCCTTATACACCCTACCACTGCAGAGTCATCCGAAAACTTCTGCAGGTGGCATGACTCTGAGTTGTATAGAAAGTCAGAGGTGTATAAGGTGAACAGGAAAGGAGACAGCACAGTCCCCTGTGGGGCTCCAATACTACCAACCACCACATCAGACAGCACACTGCCCAGCCGGACGTACTGTGGTCTGTCCGTGAGGTAGTTGGTAATCCAGGAGATGGTGGACGAGTTTACCCTCATAGCCTGCAGCTTGTCACTCAGTAGCCGAGGCTGGATCGTGTTGAATGCACTGGAGAAATCAAAAAAGGTGATTCTCACAGTGCAACCCGATCCATTCAGGTATGAGTGAGCACGCTGCAGCAGGTAAATAATGGCATCGTCCACCCCCAGGTGAGGCTGGTAGGCAAATTGCAGAGGGTCAAGGAATGATCTCACCTGCGGTCTGAGATGGGCCAAGACCAGTCTCTCAAGCACCTTCATCACATGAGATGTGAGTGCTACAGGGCGATAGTCATTGAGCCCAGAAGGAGTTGTCTTTTTAGGGACCGGAACAACGCATGATGTCTTCCACAGCACCGGGATGGTCTCCAAGTGCAGGCTCAGGTTGAATATATACTGGAGAACAGGAGCCAGCTGGCGTGCACAGGTCCTCAGGACCCTGGGGCTGATACCATCAGGGCCAGCAGCCTTGCCTTGGTGGAGTTTTTCCATCTGACTCTGGACCTGTCCTGTGCTCACAGTGAAGCGGGGGGGGGGGGCTTGATGGCAGGGGGGATAGAGGGGGGGGGGTCTGAGGCAAGATGAGCAGAGGGGGGGGGGGGGGGTCAGCGGCAATGTGAGCAGAGGGGGGGTGCAGAAGCCAGGCTGGGTGGTGGAGGAGAGGTGTGAAGTGTAGGTGGTGAGCAGAGGGGGGATGTTGACGCCAGGCTGAGAGGAGGAGGTGAGGTGAGAAGAGGAAGTGGAGGAGACAGCAGCGGGCGGAGAGCTAAACCTATTGAAGAAGGTGTTCAGCTCGTTGGCCCTCTCCAGGGTGCCCACAGTCAGTCTGTCTCTCCCTTTGAAGCCAGTGATAGCCTTCATCCCAGCCCAGACATCCCTGCTATTGTTCTGCTGGAGCTTAGTCTCCAGCTTCTTCCTGTACGAATCTCTGCCCCTCCTCAAATTGTCTCTCAGTAGATGCTGGATACTCTTCAGCATTGATTTGTCCCCAGACTTATAAGCTTCCTTTTTCTTATTTAAAAGAGTTTTCAGGTCACTAGTAATCCAGGGTTTATTGTTGGGGAAACAGTTGACAGTTTTAGCCGGTAATATTGTTTGTTCACAGAAGTTGATGTATTCTGTGATGCAGTCAGTCATATTATTGATGTCCTCTCCATGTGGCACACAAAGCACGTCCCAGTCAGTGGTCTCGAAGCAGTCCTGTAGAGCCTCATTAGCCCCTGGAGTCCATTTCCTCACAGTCCTGGTGGATACAGGCTGCCTCTGCACCAGTGGGACATATTTAGGAGCCAAAAAGACGAGGTTGTGGTCAGATCTGCCCAGGGGGGGGAGGGCAGTGGCACAATATGCATTCTTGGTATTAGCATATAGAAGATCCAGAGTATTATTTCCCCTGGTGGGGCATTTCACATACTGAGTGAATGTAGGCAGAGATTTGTCCAGTTTTGCACGGTTAAAATCCCAAGTTATTGTTATGAATGCATTTGGGTGAAGAGTTTGGAGTTTGGCCACAGAGGAGTGAATGACGTCACCAGCCACCTCCGCGTCTGCGTTCGGTGGAATATAGACAGCAACTACGATGACAGAATAAAGTTCTCTAGGTAGATAAAATGGACGTAATCCTACAGCTAGCAGTTCAATGTCCGGGCTACAGAAACGCTCCTTCACAGTAACATGTCCAGGATTACACCATCGTTCGTTCACATACAGTGCAATCCCTCCTCCTTTCTTTTTACCGCTCAGAATAACGTCCCTGTCCGCCCGAACACTCGTGAAGCCGGGGAGAGCCGTGTTATTATCCGGGATGAGCGAGTGCAACCAAGTCTCGGTAAAACACATGATGCTACACTCACGGTATTCCCACTGCGTCTTCGTCAGCACGCGGAGCTCGTCCATCTTATTCCCCAAAGACCTCACGTTCCCCATTATGATGGCCGGTACACAGGGTTTGTACCTCATCTTCTTCTTCATCCTCAGCTTGGCCCCAGCTCTGCAGCCCCGCTTGAGCCTCCGAAGCTCCTCCGGGATGTCATGCCTGGCTCCGGGCAGCAGCACGGGTCGGCACAGCGCAATCAGCTGCTCACGCGTGTAAACAATGCCATCACTCCTCTGAGCATGGCTCTCCGACACAAAAAGTGAAAAAAGTAGCAGAAGAATGACCAGAAAACGTTCGAAGTAAAACGTGGCCATAGTTCGCTGCAAAACAAAATAAATATCCAAAGAAAAAAGTACAACTAAGAGAATAAAAGTAAACAAAAAGACAAAGAACAATAAAACACCGGGAGCTGCATGCAACAGGCAGCCACCAGCACGGCGCCTTACGCAGGATATGGCCCATATATGTTTATTGGATAGATAAATCACCTATGAATTAATTGCTTCTGACCTCCTAAAGCAAATTTGTAAAATATCATTATCTTTAAATAGTTATTTATTGAATTTGTGCACAGTTAAGATAACATTCTCCAGGTGGTTAACATATAGGATGTGCCAGTTATAATTCAGCACTTCAAAGTGAGTCACATGAATTAATGAACAAGTATGTCAGAAAGGCTTTATTTTCTATCCGGCAGACGGTGATGCAGAAAGGAAACTAATAAAATACCAAGCTGGTGATAATGGTATTTCATTGAAGCACTGAAGCGTGTCTCAAGTTTACATCCTCAACTAAATCAAAGATATTTGCTCAACAATATTCTGGATTTATTATGTTATTACCCGCACGACCTTAGTGGATAATTCGTTTTGGTCCTTTTTTATTGTCATCACTGGAATGTGAAGTCCAGAAGGAATCGGCAGGAAATTACTGCTGCAGATCATACTGTCAATAAAGATGTATTTTATCATTAATACACAGGACAGCAGAGAGAATACTTAAATTCAATTCAGAGTAAGGTCACATTGCATTCTTTTATTTACATTCAATTATAATGTCTTTACATATCTTCTGTAAAATCAAGGGTACAATTCAAGTTTTAACTTACAAAAAAATATATTACTTCACATAAAGCACTGTATAAAAAAATGGAAAGCATTAAAAGGTAAACTTACATACACTCCACAATACTTGAATATTAACATTCCTTCATGAAATACATTCAGCAGAATATTAACATTGAACACAATCCAAGTACTTCTGCTTTACTCTGGAGCTCACCCTGGTGGTTATATTGGTGCAGCTCAATTCTTCCACATAAATGTAAGAGCAAGACACGTGCAATTTGTTTTTTTACTTCCAATGATGGTTAAAATGAAGTTATGAAATAAAACATTACTCATTCCCTTTATGAGTGGCGCAGCATCACACTTCTGTGTTCATATTCTGTGGCCCTTCATGTTTCCAAATGAGAATACAAAATGACTAAGGAATGTTCACTTATTACAAGAAAACTATAAAAGGTTTATGTGCAAAACAATAGCATTAGCTAGCTTCCATTTGTTAGGGTCAGACAATGAACTCAAGGGTAAACTTTGATGGAGTTTGAGAGAGGTACTTTTGATTATATTAAGCATTTCTAGCCAAAAAGATATTCTATGTTGGTCTCTCTTCTTTATTCTCAGGGTTCTGTAAATGTTCACCTGGGGACAAAGTACTTATCAGTCTTTTCCCTCAGCTCAAACTTGGTTGACTTGATGCTTCTCTGAGCTGGGGAAAGAGGTGGGCTCCCAGCGGCCGATGATATTCCCCCTCAGTCCTGCCTGGCACTTAGCGATGAGGTAGATTTTGCGGAGAACGGTGCGCCGCAGCAGGATGTAGACCCAGGGGTCCAGAATCTGGTTCCATGTGGCCAGCCTCACGGCCATCACCATCAGGGTTTTATAGCTGGATAGGTCCTCTGCTATGGATCCTGTGTAGGAGTGGATTGCCGACATCAGGCCAAAGATCTGGAGGGGTGAACATATGATCTTGTATTACAACATGATGAGAGGGTAAAAATAAGTTATAAATAATTTATATAATTTTGTTGTATTATCACATCCAACACATTATGTTATTTTTCGCACCCGTATCAGCATGATACATCAAACATGTTAGAGAAATCTCTTCATCAGTAGTGGAATATGTTTTCAGATGTATAAACACTCTATTACAAAAAAGGCTCACATTCAAAATGTTACTTAAAGGGGACCTATCATGCAAAATGCACTTTTGTACGTCTTTTATACATGAATATGTGTCCCCGGTGTTCCAGGGAACTCACCAAGTGTCAGAAAACACAACCCTCTCTATTTTCCTCCATACCCAAATCTCTAAAAAAGGGGCTGCAACGGATCTGATAAAAACTGATCCAGATTTGAACACTGTCCTGACGTCAGGACAGTGGCTCTACGGCTATTAGGCCAACTCCACCAATCAAGAGGAGACAGCCACGGCCATTGCCGTTCAAAAGCGCTGGAGACGCTGTAGTACATATGCCAGGCCTGTAGATGGTGCTGTTCTCACTGAATCTGCCCTTGCAAAAACAGAGCTAAAAAATGTCAAATTGAGCAAAATGAGGCATGGCTAAAATGCATGATCTGTTTGGTATTTTGAAAAAAAAAAGTATAAATATGCCTTATATAGGTATGGTCCTACACTATATTATTCAAATATAGCATGATAGGTCCACTTTAAGTAGAAGTACCAAAAGTAACAGACAGTATAGTCATTAGGCAAAAAACTTTATTTCAGTACAATGTTGATTATATTAATGGATTATAATCATGGATGCATTAATGTCTTCATTACACTAATGTTGAAGCTTGTAAATGAGTGGCTAGTTTGTACCTTATACATTGCTGGATAGATTCACCTATCCATCACAATCTGTTACTTAATTTATGTTATGTACTATCAATTTAAACCTGCAAAGTTAGTAAAGCTCTAAAGTTAATGTAGTGGAGTAAAAAAGTAGAATATTTACATCCGAGATGTACAAAAGTACAAATTTTGAGTAAATCTGCTTGATTACATTCCACTACTGCTCTTTAGACTACTTCATTTAGTGATTTGTTAACAATATGATATATATCATATATTCTTCTGCCTGCCCCAATTTGAAGGAGAATTCATGCAGCAGATTTTACATTCAGTGTTTGTTTGTAGAATCTCTTCCTCTTGACACAAAGTTGTCTGAATTTGGTTTTAGTGGTTTTCCTATTGAATTGACATTCAGTTTTTCCTTTAGTTACTTCAGGCCTATTTGACTTCGTTAAACTGTAGGAAGGTCAAGTGGATAGTGAGCATCCATAAAAAGAAAGACGCTCAATATTTGTATGGTCCACACCAGTGTCTTATTTTTAATCTGTTGCTATTTTCCTACTTGTATTCAGTAACTAGTCTTAAAAGATAATGCTTTCTGGGTAGTAAAAATACTTAAAGGAGCCCTATGATGCTTTTTGGTTCTCCCTTTCCTGTAGTATGTTATAAATGTTCTGCATGTAAACGGTGTGCAAAGGATACAATTCAAAAGCTCCCTTTCAGAGTGAGTTTCTCTCCCACAATTTCAGACAGAGGGTGAAAAGAGATGCTGTAGCACAGGCAACATGAGAAAAATAAAGAGCTTTTTGAACATTAAAGCATGTTAACAAGTCACAGTGGAGGAACAACATACTAATATGAAACCTGAACATGAGCATAATAGCTCTTTAATTTGCAATGGGCAAAAGTTTGTTTTAAAACTTTCTATCAACACTGTAAAACAGTTACATAAATAAATATGTATTATGTTGCAGAGATAGCCACTGAAAAATAACCATGCATCATACATACATTGTTCCAGCTGTGTGAAAATGACATGCTGTTATCGAACTACAGGCATCATAAGAAAGGGACAACAAATCCAAAGACCTTTACTTATACAATAGCACTTTTTCTAAATGAGTGCTCTGAGTGCCAGTGCATACCTAGCAGAAAGGTGAAGTGATCTCATTATCGCCCAACCTTTTGTGCTCATCCCCTCTCATTGTACCTTCTATGACTCACCAGCAGAGGGCTCCAGCAAATGCAGGAGGTGACCATGATGCCGACCAGCTGCACCACCATCTCTATATCATGAGACTTTGCTGAGTGACGCGAGCCGGGCTTCCTCCTGAGCCTCGCCAGCACCAGGGTCAGTCCACTGATGGTGTTACACACCAGCGCCACAGCCAGTGAGGCCATCCCCAGCCCAGAGAACAGCACCACGAACGCCACGTCCACCTCCTGAGTGTCACTGAGCACTTTGATGAAACACCAGGTCCCTGGGTCCTGGTAGGCGTAGGAGCCCAGCTGAAAGCAAGGCAGCAGGGCCACACACAGAGCCGCCAGCCAGATGGCAGACAGGCAGATCTTTGTACGTGTTTTGGTGACTAGAGAGGAGTGCAGTAGAGGCTTTGTGACACCCAGGCAGCGCTCAGCAGCCATGGCACAGCCCATGAAGAGTGGGCACAGGCCGAAAAACACCATGCTGCCACCCAGGAACTGACACATCCCATCGGAGGAGTTGAAGTCATCAGGGTGAACGCCTCCAGAGAGGTAGAGTCTGAGCACCAGGGCACCAGGGATCACGTGCCCAATGAAATCTGTAAACACCAGAGAAGAGGCAAACAGAAGGAATGTGGCTTTGTTGCGCCGGCGCTGCTGGGAGTAGGCATTGGCCAGGATGAAGAGGGCCACGATGTTGGAGATGATGCCCAGTGTCATGGACAGTATGACCACAATAACTCCACTGGTGGTGGGCTGCAGCAGGGTGAGGTTTCCCTGCTGAGACAGCCCTTCAACTGCCACCCTGGCCTCCACTTTCCCCCCGCTGTCATTAGAGGACCGAGGGAGGAGCGGGGAGGATGAGGAGTTGTAATGGCTCAAAGCTAACATCACTGAACTGTGAACGGAAGGAGGTCCATAGTTAAGGGAGGCTGCAAGACAAAGAAGAACGACCAAATGAGCTGTGGATCTTAAGAGAAAACTGTAAAGCATACAAATACAAATAAGTGAACATTTATGTCAAAAACTGAAACTGTAAACTTAACAGATTTTAAACTAAATGGACATCTATGGGACATTATGGAGTGACATGTTAGTCAGTGTTTTCCACCACATCAATAAGGCACCATATCATTGAATTTATATGATATAATTGTGTTGTATTCCTTCACACACTTAGGTTAGAAGCATCAAAGCTGTGTAACTTCAAATAAGGAAACTTTAAATAGGCCTTAAATATGTTAATATTTGTTCCGTGCCTTTAGGTTGAGGGACTTCTAATAATAAACAATACTTAGTTAAATACTTGAACACATTTGTCTTCATAATGCTCTTTCAAACATGACTTGACAGCTGTTTACCCTGTGAATAGTGTCCAGCCTATCATGAAAAATCACAAGGTAAGTGTCAGAGCTGCAGTGTAGCATGATGGTGAGTGTAGACTGGATCACTTAGGTTGAGTTTGGCTGGAGGTCAAACACAGGTCACAAACAGGACAATGACACACTCCTGCATATTAAAATACATCACGGCTAAGCAATGTAGGCATAAATGAATGAGAATGAGTTCTGTTTTTTGTTTTGAGTAAATAAATATATATCCGATTTTTCATAAATGTCCCTTATGATAAATATAGCTCTATCTCATCTTACCGTATGTTATCTTATTTTGTCTAAAGGAATCCAATGTGATGTAAAGAAAATAAACCTATAAGCTGATGTTCTGTACTTAACAGACATTTATTCAGAAAACATTTGTTCACCTTTTTTTTACCTATATGTGCAAAATGCAAATACATGTAAGTGAACCATTATACTTGCTAACTTCTATATCTTTTTTACTCCAACATTGTAGGAATGCTATAAGTATAAATAACATATTGTGTAAGCAAATGTATATTTATGTTGACTCAATGAATTAAGAGAAAGAAATAAACAGTCTAAATATTCAGATTTAAAAAGAAAAACACCATACATTTGCTCTTGGTTGCACCTCTTTGCAGAATGTTGCAGTTTGTAAGAAAGTACAGAAATACATTGCTCACTGTGATAATACAAACGCTATGTGTCAAGTTATAGTCAGACATTTAAAAACATGCAATCTATCCGATTTAGTTAGCCACATTTTGCTTTAGGAACAAATCCACTTGATGCCTGTTATTTTGCTTTAAAATAAAGAAATATCTTACCACTACATAGTATAGATATCCTTCCCAGTCCAGCTGAACAACATGAAGATAGTTTTCACTGTCCAACAGATATCATCCACAAACAAACACTTTCAGCAAATTCCACAAACAGATGTCTTTTTCCTTTAGATCAGAAATCCTGTTTCCCCTTCATGAAGTCCAATGCCCCTTCTTAGCGGAGTATTTCCCGAGACTGTATCCGTCTGTGTCCTTCATGGTGGCTTGACGGTTGTAAATGATCCCCACTGACACTCAAATATCGAGCCACGTTTTTATAGCGCCTCTCTCTGCCTCCTGTGAGAATGTGTGTGTGTGTGTGTGTTTGTGTGTGTAGATGTGTGTGTGGGTGTGCGTGTGGGGCGTCTCTGTGCACAGTCAAGTTCACGTCTCTGCTGTCGCTTCTCTGTATACATTCACACAGTAAGCGCACTTTAATGCGTTTACTCACTTTATGCGTGTCACGTCCATTCCTAAGAAATTATCTCAAATTGGCGTATTTTACCTCGAGGCAGAACAGTGTGTGCAGCAAAGCTTTACTTTACAGTTATAACTTAGTCATCTTTTAACGTCACCAAGATGAACAGACTTCACAGGGTTAGGATTGTATTGACCAGTTATTAGGTGAAGACATTGTTTTCTGGAGTCTAGATCTATTTGGTTTCATCGACTACATCATTTTGTAGATGTTTGATGCGCAATCCTGTGCTCAAAATAACCTCTGAGGTATCAGTTATCCAGAGAGATCCAGTTCATGGTGGATGTGCTGTTTATCAGTTTGCTGTTGGAGACGTTTTCTATTTCACCTCCCTGAAAAAAAGACATCAGAGAAAATGCTGCTGAACTGTTATTTAGAAAAATGGGTTTCAAACTTACCAAACTTGTAAGGACTTAATCGACCCCTATCCATTCCTTCTGGGATCCACATCCACTCATGAAGTAAGTACAATACAATTTTGCAATTGACCAAACACTAATATTGGGGAAAAGACAAAAATAAGCCATATACAAATATATATATAAAAAAAAGATGCAATAGTAATAACAATACATTATATTTATATAGCGCTTTTTTCAGACTCAAAGACACTTTACAGTGTGAGGGAGGGTAGACAAACAAGGACAGGCAAAAACAAACAACAACAACAAAAAAAGAAGAAAATCTGGCGGCATGGTGTATCACATACATTGCTTTACATATTCAATTAATGGAGCTCACACAATGTTCATCTTACGTTCTTGAGCTGGAGCAATGATAAAACTTCCTGTGCCCATTTTTTGAAGCTCGGAAGTTTGTTAGATTTCCAATTCAAAATATTTAGCATCCATGTTATGAGGTTATTTAATGCTATTGCTTTCTTTTACGCATTTGTAGTATAAGTTTATATAGTTGATATTCCCAAGATGTTCGTGACTGGGTTGGGTCTAAAAGGCACGTATTACAAAGACCCGAAAGGCATTCAAATTGGGAGGACCAGAAATACGAAGAGACAGGAAGGCGTTAATAGAGGGGTATATTCTAGCTAGTCTTTCATTGCAGTAGTGTACCCTGTGGAACTTGCATTGATATTGTTGATCCAAATACCTACATGTTATGGAAACTCATAGTAAAAGTATGGAAATGTAATATTGGCCCTCATGAAGGCTCCAGATGTTCCTCAAGGACTGTGATCTTCCTAAAGGTTTTTGCAGCTGTATTCAGGGAAACATGTCATTTTTTTCTTCTCTTTGATTGACAATCTAAGAGGGGAAACCACGAGAAGGCATAATGTATTTCTGATTTTGGTCCTCTCGCTAAATACTCGGGACAGGTGGTCATGTTTGTTTTCATTTTACAAGGACCTGCAGCTGGATCACATTCTTAGACACGCTGAGGTTTGGAAAAAGGGTAAAAGCAACAAATCAAATTAGCTTCAGGTTCACAGGAGAGAGGCTGGAGAACAGCACTGACATATTAATTGGTTTAATTGGTATAATAATTTGCTGGACAATTCTACTGATTGGCAACTATTGAATCTGTGAACTGACAGCTGTCATTTAACAGTGTATTGCATTTAGGCCTTAAACTATGAAAAATGTCTATTAGAAAAAAAAAGTTCAGTAAGTTGAACTGTTGAAAGAGAAGTTTAAAGAGTGAAATATACAAACACATTTCACAGCTGCAGAGAATGAGCAGGAAAACATTTGGTTTGGACATAGAACCACTTCCATGTTAACTTTAAAAGAGACAGTTAACAGACCTGCTAGCATGCTAGTAGAGGCTACACTTAGGTACGGCATTGTGTTTAAACTAAATGCTAATGTTGGCATGCTAACATACTCACATGTACAATGATGATGATATTAATCAGGGATAACATATTTGCCATGTTAGCATGCTAACTTGCTAATTAGCATTAAAGCGATACAAGGCCGATGGGTATGATGCAGTTCTGACAATGGCCCCTCATAAAAAGTAAGGGAATACAAGTCATCCTGAGGGACATTAATGTTTGTATAGGCCTGGTTGTTGGAAAAAAGTATTCTCAATAGGCTACTCAATCATCAGTAATGTACATGCTATGCCCCCCTGTTTGGTCAGAAACTTTTCTAGTTGGGGTCCCCATTGGGTAATTGGAAATATTTTCGAGCATCCTAACCTGGTTCCCACCGAGATGGGTAGGATTAATCTGCTAATAATGACAAAATACAAAGCTCCAACTATAATTGCATATGTTATTATGGATTGAACATGAAAAAAGTGTTTGTATGTGCCAATGATCCTGTGCCACTGTGAAACAAGTAGGCCTACTTTTTTTAATGAAAATATATTAATCAACATTAACTACTATTTGTACAGCAGGTTGCAAATAATCACATCACTATTCCATTCCTATTCCACACATAGCCTACCTATCAATGACTTGTGTGTAGGGATGGGTATCGGTACGATTTTAACGGTACTACTACTCTTACCGATACTGCTTATTGATCCGGTACTTTAACCATATTTGTATTGGTTATTTTTGTTATTTTTTAAAGGGAAAAATTAAACATATTGGAAACAGAATTAACATCGCTTTATTTAATCTATAGTGTGGATTATGGGCTGCAAGCACACATGACATACCTGCAGTGGTGGTAGTAGCAAGTTGATTTACTCAGGTACTGCACTTATTTGTAAGTACTTAACTTAAGTATTTTAACTTTTGCGTCTTTGTACGTCTACTCCACTACAATTCAGAGGTAAATGGGAACCATGAATGTCAGTTTATGTTATTTTTTTTTGAAGAATTTCACTCCAACACAACATTTGTTTTTATGTCGTTCCCATTGTCTATCTTCCCTCGTTTGCTGTCAAATCTCCAATGCAGACATAAAATACAAGGAACATCCTGGTAGCACTATAGGAAAGTCAGGGGATCACCAGAGTCTCTGGAGACCACACATTTCTGTTCTACATAAAAGAGCAATCCATCAAATACATTTGGACATATCACTGTAAAAACACACAGTCAGAAAAGGAAGCAATTTTATTCACATTTAGTTCTGACCAGACCGTCATTGATTTCAAAGCCTACAAAAAAGGAATTTAATAGAATAGACGTGGCATGTTGGGAGGTAAATGCTGAACTACATTGCTTTTGCTTGTATTGGCTTCATTTATCTTATCAGCACATCAGAATAGACATGTTTCAATGTGTGCTGCTTCTGGACTAAAGAGACAATTATATATGTCTGATTGTCTTCCTTTCCTGGTTCCCATTGAGACTCAACAATCAAGCGTTTGGCAGCCGTGTGTGTTTTTACTCCGTCCCATTTTCCTCATCAATTGCTCTTACAAATGGAACCATTGGCCTCTCCAGCCTGCTGGCTCTTCCAATACTAAGTCTGGGGTTTATGGGTTTGAGGCTCCTTCTACACCCTTTCCCCTTCCACTGACCACAAAGTGAAAACCTCAGACTGCATACTGTACCTGATGATCTTTGAAGCTCTCGGAGATGGAGAAGAGAAGCTATACAATTTGGAAACGTTAAGAGCAAGTTATCTTGTTTTGACATTTTAAAGATCCCATGTCATGCTTTTCCGGTTATTACCCGTCCCCTTGTGTGTTATGAAGGTTTTTCTGCATGTAAACGGTCTGCAGAGTCACAAACCCTCAAAGTACACCCTGTAGCGAGTACAACTCTAACACAGAAAATACCTGTCTATGCTGCCCCAGAACGCCTCATTGGAGATTATTCTTTTTCCATTTTTTTCTTCCTGAGTATAGTGACGTGACCATACCCAGGTCCAAATGGACCAATCCGTGGAGCTCCTCACACACACACACTCACTCAGCCTTATCTTTTCTCAGCCGCGCTACTCCGCGGAGTTTCGCCAGCACACACATTCACTCAGCCTTATCTTTTCTCAGCAGCGGCTCCGTGGATCTCCACTCACAGCTCGCCACACACTCACGTGTGTGTGCTCAGGCTGAGTTCCTCTGTGCCAACACGGCACCCAGACCCCACGCAGCATTCTCATCTGTTTGTCATTGCTGGTGTCCTTTTCTGGTTGCTAACAAACGCCATTGTAACACATAAACACACATCAGAGCACAGTGGGCTCATAGGGAGGGGGGGCAGGAGCTCCAACAAGGCGTGAAGGACAGAGAGTGAATACACATACTATACAGAGATGCTGTATGAGAAACCAATGTGATTTTGGAACATTGAACAATGTAAATCTATTCTAGTATACCTCAACAATGGAATTATGATCAGTAGAAATGGCCATGACATGGGACCTTTAAATAAAATATGGAAGAAAAAGCATCAAGTGTTGCATGTTCACAGTATTCCACCTTGGCCTCAAGACACAACACACCTTGACCACAAATGTTGAGCGGTTTCTCTCATCGCCCATTTTGCCAAAACTTTCTGCCGAGCACATACCTGTAAGTAAGAAAGATTGAGTGTTCTTAGCATTTTAAGCTAACATGAGTTTTGTTTGCTCTGTAATACTTGAAATATTTTTTGGAAGAAAATGTAGTCCTATGATGGTAATTTTCACAATTGCAAGGTGCTGGTATCAATCAGGCAAAGTGACACCATGTAAATGTGTTCAGGCGGTCTTGTGCTTGTGAATTCCCCGCTGACATTTTAAGGAGATGCTGGCTATCATGAGTGGAAAGCCACACGCTATCTGTCTGGGCGCCTCACAAACTACGGGCCAGAAATGAAACAGTGGAATGTTTGCACGAGAATATT